ACGGAGTTCGCTGAGGTCCTGCAAGCACGTTGAAGCGGTTGTACAAGAAGCTAGCATGCGAATGCGACCATGCCCTCAAATCAGCATCAGGAGGTAGCTTGCCATGCATCTCCTCAAAGTGCACCAGCAAACAATTGGAAAGCCGCCGCACCGTCTGAACAGCACGTTCAGCCGCACCATTGGCCTGGTGGTCGCCAACTGGAGTCGTACGCTGAACAGTTCGCCTGCCAAGCCTTGAACGCGTCTGCGCCACAGCTCGAACCACTGCCTTGATTGCCGGTTCACCATCACTCTGAACGATGACGGCTTCCTCACCGTGGATGGACATGCTGAAGCCGGACACCTCCTGGGTGCAACGAAAGAGCACCCCAGCACCTTTTCCCGGACAAGGAACTGCAAGAACCATTCTGGTGTCCAGGTCCACAGCAATCAAGCAACACAAAGTTTTGTCACCGGCATCGTCCACATTGGCAGGTCGATCCTGAGGGTCCGCACCGGTGAAGTAGAAGTCCATCTGCAAGATGGGCAGCTGAACCTCGGTTTGCTGTGGTCGATGTGCGTCTGCTCGGCTGCGCGTCTGAACACAAGCTGAACACCACTTCGCGAACGGCATGTGCGTCACAACATGACGTGCCCTATCCTCCTCGGAGGGCTCATCAGGAACGTCTCGAACCTGTGGAGTCCGCAAGCCTTGCCCCTCAAGTGCACTAGCTGCCTGGTTGGCAACAAAAGCTTCGACTTCCGCAGGATCCAAGCCAGCTGGTGGGTGGCCTGGAGCATCAACTGCTTCACGCAAAGGAGCTTCAGGTAATGCAACTTGAGGCGCATTTGATGACATATTGGAAGCTTCAGGCGCTGCTCGGGCACTTGATTGTGATTCACGGGCTTCCCTGGCTTGCTTGGCTTCCCGCTGAACTCTCACAAGCTCACTCTCCTTGGGCCCAGTGCAACCATTGATGACGTGCTCCACGAAAGGCACCTGAGCCAGCAAAGTGAGCATGGGCCGGGGATTTGAGCTGACCATTGCAAAGGGAGCTGCTTCATGAAAATAATCAGCGGAATTCTCAACTTGCAACCAAACATTGTCGCCCCCATCCTTCTTGACAATGGTCATGCGTGCTGGATAAACCGCAGGGTGAACCCAATCACGTGGATCAAGCAAATGAGTGGAACCAAAAGAAACATGTAGCTTCCAGTTTGGCCCCATGATGAGGTCATGCATGCCCTGTGCGCCGAGCTTCTCACGAATTTCAGATGGAAGAAANNAACCATCAAAGAGTGGTTGCGAAAGCCAACTTCAGTCTGACGCCCAAAAGGTTCTTGAAGAGAAAGACCCTCATCCTTGCCCTGCACCAGCTGCCAGCCCCGACGTAGAAGCTTGCCAACAGCCAAAAGTGGAACCCGAACATTACCCACAACACACGCCTCGCGGATGACAAAGTACTGACCCTTGCGATCACGAAGCCAGAACTCGTACTCCCTGATGTCTTTAGTGGGTATGGGGTGCCCCTGAGCGTCCGCCAAATCAGGAATGCTTGCACCTCGGGCAGGCTGACCATACTCGAGGTAGCTCACAGGCACCATGCTCGTGTCGGCACCTGAGTCCAAGATAATGTCTGCTTCAANNAAGGGGTCCCCAGAGGTGAGGTCAAAAACTTCAGTCATGGACATGTCTGGAGGGGTGACCATGCGGACCATGCGTACACGCTGCGCACTGCTGCCTTGCTGTTGCTGCCCTTGAGACTGTTGAGACTGCTGCGCTTGCTGTTGCTGCCCTTGAGACTGCTGAGNNGTGCTTGCTGCTGCTGATTGCCTTGTTGGTCGGTGACTTGGTTCACATGCTGCGCCTTTCCCTTGCCTTTGCCGCTTCTGCAGTCACGAGCATAATGACCAAGCTTGCCACAAGTAAAACACTCAACAGCTTTCTTGCCGCCTTGCTTGCCGGAGTTATGCTTGCCCTTGCCCTTGTCGAACTTGTTCTTGGCTGACTTGCCTTTAGACTTGCCCTTCTGGTTCTTCCCTTTGCCGTTACCTTTGGCGGTGATCGAGTCGATCTCCATGGGTTGAGGACCATCCAGGGACTTTGTGGTTGGAAGGGCCAAGCCCGTGGCATTGGGCTGCCATCGAGTGGTCGAGCGTTCGTACGCGACGACTTGCTCTTTCAGCTTCTGATATGTTGTCTCAGAGCTGAGACTCATATGGATTTGAACTTGAAGAGGGGATGGACAAGCCTGAACCAGAGTCGAAATCTTCAGGTCCTCGTTGTACTTCGACCCTGAAACCCTCTCATACTCCCGCACAACCTCTTCGTACTTGACAAACTGCTCGGCCAA